GGGGTTTAGGGTTAAGGGTTAGGGTTAGGGTGGGTTTAGGGTTAGGGTTAGGGTTAGGGTTAGGGTTAGGGTTAGGGTTTAGGGTTAGGTCAGGGTTTAGGGTGGGTTAGGGTTAGGGTTGGGGGTTAGGGTTTAGGGTTAGGGTTAGGGTTTAGGGTTAGGGTTTTAGGGTTTAGGGCTAGGGTTTAGGGTTTAGGGTCAGGGTTGGGGTTGAGGTTAGGGTTTAGGGTTAGGGTTAGGGTTTAGGGTTTAGGGTGAGGGGTAGGGTTGAGGTTAGGGATTAGGGTTGAGGGCTAGGGTTAAGGGTTCAGGTTTAGAGCTTAGGTTAGGGCTAGGCTTAGTGTTAGGGTTTGGGGTCAGGGTTAGGTCTACGGTTAGGGTTTAGGCTTCGGGTTAGGGATTATGGATTAGGGTTCAGGGTTTGGGTTAGAGGTTAGGGCTTCGGGGGGGTCGGGGCGGGGGTGGTAGGGATGGGGTTCCGGAGCCGGGGCGCGAGCCGGGGAAAGGGGGGGGGGGGGGTCGCCGACGACGGTTCGGGAAAGGGGGGGGGGGGTTCGCCGACGACGGCTCGGGCAAGGGGAGGGGGGGGGGGGGGGTCGCCGACGACGGCTCGGGCAAGGGGGGGGGGGGGGGTTCGCCGACGACGGCTCGGGCAAGGGGGGGGGGGGGGTTCCGAACCCCCCCCCCCCTTTGGGTGATCCAGCGGCGCGCCCTCTTAATATAGCCCCAAGGCGGCCCAGGATTGCCCAAGAGAGCCTCAATGCGTGCGCGAGATGGCTGCAGAGTACCAGGCCCCTGAAAGGCTCCAAACGGTCACCAAGAGGCCCTCAACACAGCCCAGGAGTGCTTCAAGAGGGCCCCGAAGGCACCCGAGAAGCTGCCACGAGGCCCCAAGACCACCCATGATTGCCCGAAAGAGGGCCCCAGCTGGCGTTTTTTGCGGCCCTCTTGGGAACCCTCGTGGACCGTCCTTCGGACCTCGTTGGGCCATCTTCAGGCCACCTCGGGCTGTCTCGGGGCCCTTGGAACTCCCTCGGGGCGTTCCTGGGGCGGTCGCAGGGGTCCAGAGGCCCTCTTGGGAACCCTCGTGGACCGTCCTCTGGACCTCCTGGGCCATCTTCACAGGCCACCTCGGGCTGTCTCGGGGCCCTTGGAACTCCCTCGGGGCGTTCCTGGGGCGGTCGCAGGGGTCCAGAGGCCCGCGCCCAGGAGTTCTGGCCTCTCAGACACCAGGGGTCGCCTCGCGCGTGCGCGAAGTGTTACAGACGCGCGTCTTTGCTCAGGGTGCCCTTGCGTCCTTGCTCTTCCTTGCGCTTGCGTCCTTGAGGTTTTCGTCGTCCGCCGCCCCCAAAATCCCAACTTCGGCTTTCAAGGGTCTTGCGTCCTTACCGCGCGTCCTTATTAGGTTTTTTTTTTTTATTGCAGTATACATACAAATATTCGGAACCTCGTACTGGAAACCATATCGCGCTTTTGGCCGTGGGCTGGCTATTTTTGGATGGGCTTGTTTTTAAGCGTTTGCGCCCATCGTTCGGGCTGGTGGGATTTTGCGATTTCGGCTCTCTGGGGCTCTTTGCGAGGTCATCCTGTGGCTTACCGTGGCATCTTAGGGCCAAAGTGGTACTGTGGCCACTCGCTGCGTATCTTGGACGGTTCAGGGGGCCATTTTAGATAGGTTGGGGCAGTGGGGGCACCCAGACAGTTTTCAAAGGAATCAAGGGGCCCGAAGGTGCGTTGAGGAGTGCGAAGCCCCCCCCCCCGAAGCTAGATTTTGCACCCCCCGGGACGGAGAATGGGCAGAGGTGTAGCCAAGCATCTCGCACGCGTTTTCACACTCAGTGAGGGGGCGGGTCGGCGGAGTCTTTTGAGTCGGGCTGTGGTGCTGAGTAGATGTGTGCCTCGCGCGCCGTGGGAAGAGGAGGAGGAGGAGGAGGAAGAGGAGGAGGGAGGAGAGGACAACTGTGGCAGGTCGTAAGGCTCGTGGGCGCCTGAACCCCGTGATGAGGCCCAGTTAGGCCGGAGGCGGAGGAGGAGGAGGAGGAGGGAGGAGGAGGAGGAGGGAGGAGGAGGAGGAGGAGGAGGAGAGGAGGAGGGAGGAGGAGGAGGAGGAGAGGAGAGGGAGAAATGGGGAGGAGGGAGGGATGGGGGTTGAGCGGAAGAGGGAGGTGGAGGAGGAGGCCCAGTTTTGTAAGGAGGAGGAGGGGGAGGAGGGGGAGGCGGAGGAAGAGGAGGAGGGAGGAGGAGGAGGAGGAGGAGGGAGGAGGAGGAGGAGGAGGAGGAGGAGGAGGAGGAGGAGGAGGAGGAGGAGGAGGAGGAGGAGGTGAAGGAGGTGGAGGGGGAGGAGGGGAAAGAGAACGAGGGTGGACGGTCGTGCCAGGCGCCGCCAAGCATCGTCGACAATATCCGTCGGCCACGTAGCCATATTTTGGAGGCCAAGCTTGTGACGTAGTACTGGCAGCAAGATGCCCGACCGCTCTTGGAAGTTGGGTCAGAACGAGAA